TTACAGGTCCCGGGTGTATCTTTAAAAAAAAAAAAAAAAATAGAAACCTGTTTAGATGAATACAAGCTTTTTGCCAATAAAAATTCCTTGGACGACAGATCGTGAAAAAAAGAGATAAAAAAAAATGATGCTGTTAATCTTATCCTTGAGATGTTTTACGCTCACTGGTTTTTCAAGGTATGCGCTTCGCTGCCCTGACTGCCTTGTGAAACCTATTCAGCATTAGGTTTCTCTCATAAGGACGGAAATAACCGTGGCATGACTATTATATGTCAACGCGAAACCATTTTCACAATTCCAACGTTTTAAATATATATATATAACAAAAAATTATGTGTTTTTAAAGGGTCATTTAGTAAAGACAAGTGGGGTCATAGAGTTTATTTGAAACGCAAAATGCTAACAAACAACATTGAACATGGTTTTAGTCATTTTCTGACAGCTTGTAGACAACCAGAATAAAAAAATTGACTTAAAAATTCTCAGTATTTCATTACATAGATTTAATTTAAACCATATTTTTTTTGGTATGCTTAAACGTGAATATTCTTAAATAAAATCACCAGAACAAGTTTGAGTTGAATCCATAATACAAAAATTGTCTTTTTCTCCTCTTCCTGAAAATGAAAGATATCCCTTTTTGATATGAAGCCACTCACATGGAGATGGTATCAAAATTGCTCCCATTGTTTACCTCAACCAATGAAAAAACACAAAGCTACAGACCTGACTGTTTAGGAAAACAATCCTCAAGGACCCAAGTATCGAACCCACGTCCCTAACCCCTAACCTAAGCAGTCACGCTAGCAGCGAGACATCCTATTATATTATGTAACAAATTGAACTTGTTTTCTCGAGTTTATCTCATTATTATGTATTTTTTTTTTTTTTTTTTTTTTTTTACTTCCTTAAAATATGATTTAAATGAAAACGGGTTCATAATTGAATGACAAAAAATGAAGTCTCAAGTTGGATAGCGAACTCACCTAAGGATTATCCGTTGCAAATAGTCTCCCACTAGTTCTATCCAACGCTGAACAAGATCCAAGAAAATAAACGCTAACAAGGCTACTTAAATAATTCCTATACAAAAAATAGCTAAGCCGTCATTAGTATAGAGGACCCAACAAGAGGACTCCTCCAGAACTGGAGAGGTTTCGCTTTCCTCCAGAACGGTCGTCAAAGGGCCCCAACGTGCATCAGTGACCACAAAAAGGTGAGTCAGTCGGCTTGACTCAGCGGGCTAAGGATCCCATTAAATGCCGCGTCACAGGCGTTTACGGGTTGCTGAAACTGATGCTTTGATAGAGTTCTCTGATTTAGCCGGGTCCCTGTTTCCTTATGTTGCATCAATGCTGTGATTTCTATTTCCGTTGGATGCGTCTTATCGACATGGGATTAAGTAAACTAATATGAATTAGTATAGTATTGATTTTTTATTTCATACAAATTGTATGAGCCGATATCATACAATCCCATGACCAGAAATTCTTCTAACGACAAAATCGGTACCAACCTTCAGAGAAGCGATGTACAGATAAATATAGTCAGGTAGAACGAAGATAGGTACGGTGGGGAAGATGTAGGGCGGCGATTGGAAGAAGCGTGACCTTATCGTTGATTAGGAGGCGAGGGTACTAGCCGAGGGACCTTGGGCGAGGTTCGAACCGACGTCCTTGCGGCCTCCTCCCGCAACGTCCCGAGGCCTCGCTGCTTGCTCAACACGACTTGGAACGAGGCTCGACAAGCTCACGGCAGAGCGGAGTCGGTTTCGCTACGATCGGTTGAGCTACTTCACGCCTATTTGGCAGGCGCTCCGACCCTCGGTGGGAACTGGGTCCGAGGGCACTCCGACAGTTACAAATCAGAAGCAACTTATAAGTAACCAGTTATGTTTTTTTTTTATGCAGGTCATTGCCTGAAGGCGACTTTCACTTATAAGGCAACATTGCCTTCTTAATGTACAAGCAGCATTAGAGTGTACGACAAGCGTTCGAACGAAAGGGAAAGGCAATAATGTGTTTGTCTTTCTGGTGATTTGTCAACATTTGCTTTCAACAAAACATCAGCTATCAACATACTTCAGCACTTTAGACCTAAATGTCATTTGTGGATGATTGAATACATAAAATAAATTTGGAAGAAAAATTACTTATTTTATTATGTGCAATCCATGTTTATATATATGATAGATTTATATACTGATAGATTTGTACGATAAGGATTAAGGATTCAATATAACTAAAAAATATATAACATCAGAGACAGAATTATGATGAGCCATAATAACATTGTGCTCAAACGTTGGCTATAACAAAAGCTGAAAAAAGTAGGAGACATTATTTTTTTTACTATCACCCAGCTATGTAGAACAGCTGAGTAACATCCATCAATATACACAACAAGAAATAATGAAGAGAAGAATAGTTGAGGTGATCAGTGAAAAATATAAATGGCAAAAATAAATAATATTTATTTTCACAATTGCCGAAGTTTCGAGCCGAAGTTCAGGCCTTCATCAGGACTGAGAAAAGATCAGGTCAGTTAACTATCTATCTTATCTTATTCTTCGTTCCTTTTCATTTTCACTCTATTTTCCATATTTTCATCTCCACTTTGTATATATTGATACATTTGCTCATTTATTTTTTACTTCATTTTAACTCTTTATTCCCTTATACGTAGTCAGTACATTTCAATAGGGCTCCACAATACCTCAGTTTTCTATTTAACTATTCTATTTACAATATCTCAACTTTTCTATATATATATATATATATATATATATATATATATATATATTTCTTATATAACTTCATATTTCTTTTCTCTATTTTACATTTTATTCTAAGATTACCATTTTAGCACTTATGTTATCTTATTTTGATTATGCTTACTTCATTAGTCCACACTTTGTAACCGTTATTATTATTTATTTCTTAGTTCTTGTTATTGTCATTATCCTACCGATTTTATTTTACTTCAATGTTCACTTATTAATTTTTTTTTATCTACATTGTTTATGTTTCTCATACTAACTGTTATCTGGTTCTTTGCTCAGCTCTGATGAAGGACTGAACTTCGGCCAATGTTAAAATAAATGTTATTATTTATTTTTTAATGATCGCCCCAACTATCCTTGTCTTCATTATTCATTACAGTCAACCATCAACCCACAATTACAAAAAGAAATATTACCGACAACATAACATTTTTCTCATTAAGAACTTCAGTAGCTGCCAGGCAGTTTTACGGTTTCGTTAAAGTGAATATGAATCCCGACAAAGACAGCGAAGCGTAACTAGCTGGATACAGTAGGTCTTCCGACAGGTGATGGCAGGTTATCCAACCCGAGAGCAGATGGTACGGGTGACCTTGGCGCCTCTGGAGGCGAAGATCCCATTCCAATGGCCGAGAGGATTGGTAATTACTTCTTGAGAACACATTTGGTTGATTGCTAATATCTTTTTGTTTGAGCAAGTGTTGTTTATCCCCTCCACTAATACAACAGAATGTGCAGGGGTCACGGTCGCCTGCGGGCCGGTCAAGGTTTTTGAAACACAGAAGTCGTTAAAAAGCCTGCATCATTTTTTGAAAAATTGTTTTTATGCAATATTAATGAAAAAAACAACAACAACTAAGATGTATACTTTAGACCACACGTTATAAGTGAAAACATCTACAACACCCAGATTAATAGTATGAAATATAAATTATAAATAATAGCTAATTATAAAGAGGATGAAATGCTGAACATTTCCCTTCCTTACAGTATGTAGGTCCGATTTTTAGTTTCTGAGAAATTTTAATCCATATCTTCCAGAAAACTTGTTATAATTATGTTTCGACACACTTTAAGACAGAATTTGAATAACAACTCATTATAAAGAAGATGAGATTATGAACATTTCCCTTGCTAACAATATACAGGTCCTATTTATAGTTTTAGAGATGTTTTAATCTATATGCAAAAACAGTTCAATTAATCCAGCCGACTTTCCGGGAGGATAACACGTCGGAAATCTGATGGCTCATTCACTCACCACAAAAAAAAAGAGCAAAACGCGCCTACAAAATTTACACTTCAATAAGGTTATTTTTAAATATGCAGGCATATCTAAAATGGTACCAATATACTCTAGAAAAAACTGTCTGAATCACTTACATTTTTACATAAGTGTCCCATTCGCTTTTTAAAAATTACCCATTACAATAAATATAAAAAAAAATTTTTTTTTGAACACAGGTGATATTATTTCTAGGCTCATATTTCATCACTGGACCAGATAAATAAATTCGATTCTGAAATCAATACTGTTTCAAGTTTCTTAGATTCGATATCTAGTTAACAATAGAGCAGATTGGAGGCACAGAAATACGATATCTAGCCAAAGACAGTATTCCAAGAGTTTCTATTATCAACGGCAACTACCTAATCGGCAGAACAACACGTTCCCCATTCACTGGCGGAATTGAGTGACTATAGACTTGTTCAAGTGTTAACGCGCATACCTCATTGAAAGAACTTAACCTTGGCACGAATCTTAGAAGAAAAAAAACTTTACAATGAACTTTGTAGTTCTTTTTTTTTCTAATGATAAATATAAAATTACGGTGATACTTAATTTACGATTTTGTAAGGAGGGAATATAATCGAGTTATCATCATTTCTCAGTCAGTATATCAATGACATTATGCTTTAAAGAATTGTACAGTGGCAGATAAGTCTTCTTTTGAACTATATTTATTTATGTTTTAGCGAGTAAAAAATTTCCTACTGACTTTGTATAGTTCAATGGCTTGTCTTCTGTCGTTATTTGGAAGGCTTGATCATGAGTTCTTTACTTGACGTTACTGGATCACATAAAGGTAAATTAAGTGGTAACAAGCTTTTAATTATGATTGAAAAGAAATGAAATAATAATTTTGTTTTTATATGAAAAAATGGCAATTACAGAGAAATGCCTAGAACTATATTTATATATTTAGCAATCAGAACAAATACCTACAATCATTCACAAAACCAAACCAATGAAATATTAAGCATTAATGTAATAAATTTCCGACCTGTCCGGGGTAGAATCAGGACCAATTACAGGAAGGCGCACGGTTATCAACCCCAGGAGATAAAATGGAGCTATCCCAGGCCAGATGTGAACTTGGTGAAGATAAGCGACCAGCTGTTTTTGCCCCGAGGGAGCCTGGAAAGGAGAGAGGGGAGGGCTGTATCTATAATGGGGTCGTCCAGGTATAGAGCCGACTCCCATGCAAATATCTCAACTCGACCCTTCCACGCAGTCAAGTGCAACGAAGCCCTGAGGCCGGTACTTCCAACAGCCTTGCACTTGATATGGACTGGCTGTACTAAATATGGCTGCCAAGAAGTTGACGAACATCGACTACCGTTGGAGGCTCTGTCACCTGAGACCAAACAATGGCTAACGGAGGACCCATTGTTTCCTGAAAGCGCCAGCTCATTGCTAGGCGGTCCTCGGGCGACCGCCTCCCTGCATTTGTATGGCGCCCAGCTGTGCGGAGCATGTCGTCATGTTCGGGATCGATTCGCTCCTTCATGTTATAATTCATTCAGTAGCGGTGTCCAGGGCATGTATTAGTGTCCACTAATAGAAAGAACCAAGTATGTTATTAGCTGAACCGTCATTGGAAATCCTGAAGGTTACACGTATATCAATGCTCGCATTAGAACAGATTATATTTCCGAGAATATAAAAAACTCCCAATACAAGATATAGATAAATAATGTTTCAGCACCAGCTATTTAGAAGCATTTTATAATATAATTTACAAAAATATAAAGGCTGGTGTGTAAAAAACATTAAGATAGAAAAAAATCAAAATAAAAAACTTTTCGTTTCATCATCGTTGATATTTCATAAACAAACAATTAAAGATGACAGGGCGCCATTTTTTTTTTTTTTTTTTTTTACTCTGACATTACCAAAGGTTATTTAGGCAGTTTTATTAATTGCTTTCAGGTTATTTACTGTCTGCTGCAAATTAAAGTCATTTAAAAATTAACGACAAATATTTGGATACACAAGATATATGAAACATAATTAAGCACACCTGTTATTAATAAAGTGAAATTAAATAAACCTCGAATAGTGAGTGGTTTGGATTAGAATTGATGTAATGTTTTCCTCATAAAAATGAAAAGAAAACAGAAAAATGATAACGCGGGAAATTTTATCAGATTAAATACCATTTTCTTCACAAAATAAAAATAAATAAAAAATTTTTTAAAAAATTCGAATTCTCTCCAACAAATGACCTATACTTTATTACTGGGACTAATATTTCTTCAAAAAAAGCCTAATTCACAAAAAAAAAAAAAAAAAGTGATCATAACTAAAAAAACAATTAAAGAATGAAAATTATAGACAGACATTTAGGACTTTAAATTTAGGGTTCTAATATTCAGATAATTTATAATATAAAGCTTTCGAAAAAAATAATTTTATGGTAAATAATGTAGCAAACAAATAAACGAAACAAAAAGTAAACAGCCATCTATTTTTTGCTACCTATAAAATGTTATGTAACGTAGAGATAAGAAAACAACACTGTTAACACACGTCGTCCTCGAGACATTCCCAGCAAAAAAAAAAACTAGGACATAAAAAGTAAATAAAAAGCCATAACTCAACGAGTAGGCAAATTAAGTTTCACATTTGCGAAAGTGTTCCTAAGAAGTGACTCATTGTTAATATTGAAGAATGATTCTCGACCTTTGGTTCAAGGCCGGCACCAGCCCACTCGATTCATTATTCGAGGGTTTTATTTTACGAGATACATATTTATATTATATTAATGCCCGCGTCAATGTCTTCAAGGGGACCGTTAAATCAGAGATAGCATTCATGGGTGGATTTATTTGAAATATATTACTCAAGGGCGAGCGCATTAATCTATTCTTATAATAGCACTGGCCAACGAGGACTCTTAGTCCATGGTACAGAACCCGTTTTATCAAATTATTAACACCCACCTGAAACTTCGTAAATAGCTCCATCTTATCGTAACCCGCATCTTTATTATTTATGAAAAATTTCGGATTTGGGGCGATTTCAATATGGAGATCGGCAAACTTTGTCTATTTAATTAGGTACTAAAAACTCGAAAACACTCATTTGCTTTCCACTTGAGTCGTAAGATAATTAAATCAAAAAGTCGAAAAAAAGGTGGCCTTCAAAAATATTGAGCCGTTTGTGTGACCTTCACCTACTAAATGTCAAAATAACGAGGTTACATAGGCCAAGCGGCCTATTTTTTTTTTTTAGACCACCTTTTTTCTTGATTTTTTGAACAAATTATCTTACAATTCTAGTAGAAAACAAATGGGTATTTACGAGTTTTTAGTACCTAATTAAATAGAAAATTTTTGCAGAACTCCAGATAAATAAAATATTTGTAGTCTACGATGAGATGAAGCTTTTTACGAATTTTTCAGGATGATGTTAAGAATATGATTAAAACGTGTCTGTACCACGGACTATATGTTTCTTGCTCAAAAATAGATTTCATTATTGTAGTTTACCTTTACGGTTACGTTTACGTTTACGTTAACACAAAAATAACAAAAAAATTAAATTACATTTAGTTTCTGCGGTATACTTAATGAAGGACTATTTAGGTCATAATTTTTGTTAGCATTTTGCCTGGATGCTATTATAGTTATCAGATTTTCAGTTAAATAACAAGGAATTTTTTCTGTTGGCTTCCCTTAAGACTGGTTAAAAAGATGTCTAATAAAATGACCCTCTGGTCGATCAGAAAACCGTTCTTACCCTCCATTACACATCAAGCTAAGATTGATGAAGAACTTTATTAAAGCTATGGATCGGAAAGAAGGAAAGGAAACTTTCAAATACTCCTCACACTAAGTGATGTTAAGGTCAAGGAAGACATTTTCGTTAGACCTCAAATTTCAGACATTTATGAAAATACTAAGATCTGATATTTAAAGGGGAAAAAAAGGCAGCTGGGGAAGCGTTCAAAGATGTAGTGTATGTTGTTTTGTTTTGGCAATCTATGTTACAATATTTTCCTAAAAATATATATTCTCTACTCCACTCCATTTTTTTTTCTGAAAAATTTCCACAAGAAATTGTGAGTATAGGAAGAGATTCTACCAAGACATTTCTTTGATGGAGTAGAAATATCTGAGTCGTGGGAATGAACCGACGCCAGCGGACTACTGCTGGACGGTTTAAAAACTCGTCCCGGACATAGAAGAGGAAGGCCATAATAAAGGTTCTCATGAAGTCACCACTTGATCAAACTACAGAAATTATCCTCAAAAATAAAATTTCACAAATACAAATAGACAAGATGGATACATTTTTAAAATAATTTGGGTTAAAAGACTATTTCATTTGTCTTAGAAAATCGTGAACAGACCAACATATGAACAATGTATGCATGTTACTTATCTTTTTTGTTTTTCTCAAACACATGTTAGTAAGAATTAACTAATTTTTATAACATATCAGAATTTTTTTTTTTTTGTGCAGTCTTATCGATGAGGCGAGTTTTCTGATTAATTGATTGTCTAAAAGCGTATCTATGAGTATGTTTGTTCAGGAAGTTGTAGAACCGTCATTATGTCAACAGATTGAGTGGCTTAAAACTTTCGATAGAAAATTTTCTAAATAGCTGTTCTCTAAATTGTCCTCAAGAGTTTCAAACTTCGGCCCCGAATAGAAAAGTTGTTTGTCAAGAGTTAGTTTGGTCGTTGGCGAAAGTTGAGCTAGTTTCTCAACTAGTGTCAGGATAAAAGTCTGTTCTCTTTTAGATGTTTTTATTTGACGTGAGTTGTAGAAGCGAATCATTTGCCCCAAAACAACCTTAAGTAGCGAGAATCGTCAATTATTACGATAATTTGTTTATTCCACCTAAGATAACATTTAACCTCTGACTCCTAGAAAGTCTTTTGGACACTGACGATAAGATAAACTGACCTACAAAACTATTTTTAATGAGAAGTAATATAGAATATTTGGTAAATTGGAACTATATCCAAGAAAAGATAATATGCAAATAAGACACATGAAGAACAATTTTTATTATTGCAAGCGCATTCCCGTAAACATTGTTAGAAACAGCAAGGATAAGTATTATAAACTCATAAACATAAATAATGAATTATGGTAATTGAAAGGAATGCCATGGGAATGAAATGCCATGGTTTAAATGTAAATTGCCGATTGCGTGGTGAAGCAAACAACCGGAAATGCCGTAACATATTCTAGGTCAATAAAAATTTTTTACATCTTGAAATAATAAAGATATCATATCAAGGTATGAGTTGCTGAAAATGTCTTAAATCTGAGAAGAATTTAATAACAGATACCCAAGGTGTGACACAATATGTATTTAATCATAATCTATAAATATCTCTAGTAATAGCTCGTACATGACCGTATACTCACTATACACAATTATATGATAAGCTTATTATTTCATAAGAACCCGCAATTACTAAAAAAATAATTAGCAGTTGGAGTAAATGAGCGAATAATCACCGAAACCGGTTTTATGTTGAGCTGACATCATGCTCAAAGTGTTACCCTAATAGGAATCTCGTCTCTTCAAGAAACATGAACATTACAAATTAAAAAAACCTAATTTAAATCACATATCAGAAGTGACAGGAGCGTTTATCCTAATTCCAAGGACACAGCTGTATTTTTGTAACATCAAATGGGTGCGTTTTTGTTACATGAAGGTTCATAATTAATCTATGAAATAATAAATTTTTACATTATAATATAGCAAAGAGATATGGCATAATCTGTCTAATCAACCGTCAGCTATTTCAAGATTGCTGTTAGCAAATGGATATGGTAAGAACACTATAGCGTAATAAAACATTGATTAAACGGCTCTCCATAAGACATCAGATTCTTGGAAGAAATGTCACCTGAAGACATCCAGAACACCGTCATTAACATTCCTCGGAGTAATGAGAACGATTAAGATGACAAAGACGAATTATCGAGACTCAAATGTTATGAAAGGATGCGATTAAATTCTTCAAATGCAGAAGGAAGATTGTTGCAGAGCGAAGGAGAGCCAGAAATTGCGGTGGATGAAAGGTAATTGAGAATATCCCTTGTTATGCCAATGAGCGCAGCCATGCCAATACTCGGTTAGAGAAATTGCACTCAACGTATAATTTTATTATTGCACTTCTTGATAACAGACAGCGTAATAATAAATTTGTTTTGTGTGAATATAGAAATAATACTGGATTCGTGAGTTCGAGGTAAACCTGTAACGCAGAATATTTACGAAACATTAAACAATACATGCATTTGATTTTCAAATAGTTCAGAATGTAGATGAGCGGTCTTTAAAAATTTAGAGAATTTTGCCGAATATTACAATCGTTTTTTTTTTTTTTTATCGTATCTGTGTTGAACAAGGATCAGATGATAATTATCTTTTCTATAGATTAGATTAGCTTCTCAGGGATAACAATAATATTAAAAAAAGATGCAGAAAGACAAGATGTTAATTATCAACTTTAGATTATTCGAGACTTCTATCAGATAGAAGAGTATGGAAATGCAATGAATGGGATATTATTCACCGACTGACGTAACTAATGACACGTGACTTCGGCGTGTGTACTAGTATGAATTATTTCTGTACACAGCTGAATATGTTTACAATCTATGTGCTACGGCTATTAGCAAAATGGACATTGAAAAACATTCCTTGGCGAATGAGGGATGTTGGAAGATGCAGTGTACTTGTTGAAAACTGGTTTTGTGTACCTTCCAACAACAAGGCTAGTCAAGATGGACTCTCCTATTGATAATGTTTCTTGACAAGTGATGTTAGATGATGTATTGTGCGCATGGGGAACCGGTTCGGGACTAGTTTTGTCACTGTTCTAGGTACTCCCTCTGGGTTCCTATTAACATACTCGCCATCACTCAGGCCCTGTAGTCTACTAGTACACTCAAACTCAAACCTTATGCTTCTCTCATACTCTACTACACTCATACCCTATATATACTCTACTCTATTACAATACCTCTACTATTAGTACATTACCTCTGCAATCTTCCTGACGCTGGGGGGCGGGGTGGGGCTCAGAGCGCTGGACCTGGAGCCAGACCTCTCATCGCCGCTGCCTGCTGACCTCAGCGAGCTCACTCCAGAATCGCTGCGGTCGTCGCGGAGCACAGAGCCTCCGCTGGAGTCCTCCATCCTGCAACAGGCACACTCGTCCCTTAGACTGACCCTTCGGTAGCCACCGTACAGTATCCTAACCCTGTCCATGTCGTTTAAATAATTATAAAAGAGGCGGCAGTATAGGATCCATGGCACCGCTACACTAAAACTGATATTCTATTTATCAGCCCTTATCACTCTTGCATAATTCATTTAATTGCTCTTATTGATTAGTGATAAGGTATCTGGAAGAGGCTACTCCAAGTATCAAAACATGTACTCTTGTAAAAATGCCGGTTCATTCTTTCAAAATCAAACGACAACCATTCTTAGATTTCGTACAAAATTAATGAAAAATAAAAGTCCAAATTTTAAATATTCTACGAATTATAATCCAATTAAAAAAAAATAGTTGAATCATCAGTCATAACATTTAAGAAATTGATAAATAAATACCCGCATTTATTATATTATTATGCCTTTTTATAGTCAAAGGAATATAACTAATTTGGTTCATATATACAACTGAAATGGAAACTAATTTTTAAATAATAAATTATTGCTTCGGTGAAATAAACAGTTAAAGAACATGACCATAAATAGAAATGAGAAATAATTATTAAGAATACAGATGAAAATTATTTTAATAGATTAAAATAACAAAAAAATGAACTTTGGAAAACATGAGCATACATAGTAAATAGTGTTGCCCAAAATCGGTCTTGATCTTGCACTTTGCAAGACCAAGACCAAGGCCGCCTAACTGCTGCAAGACCAAGACCAGGACTGGTAAAAAAAAAAAATCCTTTTTTAAAATAAAAATTAATGCAAAATAGTTACTAATACTTGACAATCTTAGATACTATATGTTAATAATTGGTATAACCAATACACTTTTGCATTTAACTCTTCCAATTATTCATTCGGGCTTAGTTAGGTTTCTCCTATCTAAAAAATTACAGAAATATCTCTATAGTAATAAGCTAATAAGTAACTGCAAGACTGTTGCGAGACTCTTGCGCAAGACCAAGACCATGACCAAGACTGAGTTTGCAAGACCAAGACTGAGTTTGCAAGACCAAAACTCGTCTCGGTCTCGCATTTGGGCAACACTAATAGTAAACAATGACGCTGTGTATTTAATATAGTTATTAAATGTAAATAAAATATTGCTTTAAAATATAATAAGAATCCTATTTATATAATTGAACATATTTTATAATTTTAGTAAATAGGAATTCCAGATGCCGATTTATAAACTATCATTACAATAAGCATACCTTTTAAAAGCTTGCTAATAACGTATTGTTTTTATTTTCAAAATTAGATTAGAAGAATTAAACTTATCTGTAATTGTAATACTTACTTTATCATTTTAATTTATTTACCAAATCCCCATAAATATTTTTTATCAAACTAATCTAATTTTTTCTCCGCTAATAACGAGATTAAGCTATCGTGCTTATTATTATTATTATTATTTGTTGTAATAATAACTCTGTTATTTTTTTTTTTAAATTATGTTTTTAATTTTTTTTACCAAGATCTATAAATGGCATATTTTTCTATCTAAACATTTAAATAACTATTAATACATTTATTTCTATTATGTTGTATTATTTTTATATCATATTGAATATAAGTTAAATAAGTTATTATTTAACTTGTATTAGTATAATTTTTGTTTATAGTGACAGTAACAATTTTTCAAAACATTGCTGTGTATTTTATCAAGATCTATATGGCCTCTTTTCTACCTATACATTAGTATTGAATAACTATTAATAAATTTGTTTGTAGTAACCTCTATAATTTTCAGAAGACAAGTAATCAATTTTTTTTTTATTGAGAATATGACGATAATATAAGTAACAAAATCCGACACATATACCAAAGCCGAAAAGATAGACCACAAAATATGGTAGCATCGATTGCATTTAATAGCAAACTGACTATGCAGGTAGTCAGACAAGATTTCCAACAACCCAAAACTTGGTTTTAAAGACCATACATTTAAATACTCCAACGGCTAGTATGTATCCCACAAGACTGAGTCTACCCCTTTCCGGGCCCTTTTGAAAGAAGACAGGGTAACAAACCCCTGTCCTTGTTGTTTATTGGATTTAACGCCCTTACGTCCTTCAGACAGAGGGTAGAAAGGGATGGGTTCCGTACCTACGTATCATGGTCGTTTGACCATCCGTCCCTCCACGGTCGGAAGAATCATGAATAGAGGATTATAATTACAAAGCCAAAACATAAAAATAACGTTACAAATCAATAAATAATATTAAGTAGTATATAAACATATTAAGTAATAATTAAAAACTAATGCGTCCTTGAAGAAATATATTCTAAAATATAAGTTGGATTCGGCAAAAATTAAAAAAAAGAAATTATACACAGGGTTGAAATTTCAAGGTCATCCTAATATATTTTTTAAAGGTGAAAACTGTGATTATTAATTTATATAAGAATTTTACTATGTTTAGAATAAATTATAATAAATATATATCCATGCGTATTTTAAAATTATATTCCAAAGCACGAATTATATAACGACTAATAATGGATTCGAGATTATTTCTCAGAATAAAGAAGATACTGGAATGAAAATGCGTAATTGTTAAAAAAGCCTTAAGAATTATATTATTTTGTATAGTTAATTTTAGTGAAGAGATACTTTTGCATTATTGTAATCACACAGCTCTTAGTTAACTCAGAAAGCTCATGGTAATTATAATAGGTTTTTATTTATAACCGTTACGTAAATATAAATATTAAACTTATTTGCACATTAAACTTGAAACAGAGGAGAACTTTCTCGAAAAATAACTGACACAATTCTCAAGACGTGAGGTTAGCACAAACTCATGCAACGCCGACTTTGGTGTGTACTTCATACTTGATCGCCCAAGTGAAAAATTTGATTCAATCATACTGAGCAAACTCCCATTAACGCTTCGTTCGGCTGCCTGTACACATCAAATATATCCCAGCCGGTTTCCAAATCCATTGCCAACTCCTTGTCTAAATCGGAACACAGCAATTTAAAACCCATTGTATTTATTTATTTAAATTATTATTATTTATTTATTTCTGTATCGTCTTGCTTTGTTACGTTAAGAAAAAATTGCCTGTGATAAGCTCAGCTAACGAATTTAGAGACACGAGTTTATTCTAAAAACCTAACGAGACTGGTGTCCTGATAAAGCTTCACACAGCCTGTAACAACAGTTTTCAAATTATCATTTAGAATATAATTAGGTACGTATTTTTGAAAATATATTTTTTTGTATTAAAAATTGAAAAAAAAAATCATTTAGCCAATGCCAATTACTACATTGAGGGATGCGGAATCGCGAGATAAATTTGGTCAAGAAATTGATATAGGACGAAGTGCTTTTAAATAAATGAACATTCAGCATATGAAAAAGACATTTTTTTTTTTTTTTTTTTTTTTTACAAGAAGCATAAATAAATTTTAAAATGCGGTGTCGGGCACATGGAAACATTTATTATAATAATAGCACATATAATAATAAAAACATAATAAATAAATAAAGAACAAAAGTAGATACAGGAAAAAAAATAATTAATCAAAAAGTTGAAATTCTTCTTTGCCATAAATTGGTCAAATATACATATGAGATAGCAACTCTCATACAGATTTCTAACTGTCCATTATTTTAATCTCGATCGGTGATAAGTTTTTAATTATTTTATTGCGGATAACAATAGTTCGCATATATGTGCGTTTAAAAAGTAAAATCTTTATATGGGGCCGGACGAAAAAGTGTGGGCAGCTGTGGATTACTTATTTCTTGTTTTGAGCAACTCGTGTATTTAATTGTAATATTGAATGTGTGAATATAAACATAGAATCATAATGCTCAATGCCTTAGATTGAGGCAGATTGTATTATATTTCTTCAATAAAATAAAATTAGTAATATTACGTAAGTTATAAATGAAAATATTGCATAAATATTTATTATTACCCACAATACAACTGATATAGCTCTGGAGCCAGGGCCCAAAAATCGACCTCATCGCAGGCGAAGGTTTGATTGTAAATTACGAAAGTGTATGTTATTCTGAGTAAAAAGAACCTGGTCTGCCGATCCAGAGCCGCTGCTTTCAAAAATGGCGGCTGATTTAAAGAATACTAGGCCAGTAACTTAAGGATCGAAACGGGAAATCCATTGCAAAAAATGTGAGAAAACTTTTTATTTTTTAACTGGTATATATGAGTTTTTAGACATGTAAAATACAAAATCGCTAACGCGAGCCACCAAGGGAAAACTTTTTACAGCCAATAAAGTCAGATGTTTTCGATATTTTTTTGTTTTTTCATCTGTAACTCATAAGCCATGCATCAAAGCGAAAAATGTGTTCTTTAATAAATTAAAGAACATTAAATTGCGCGTCGAAAGAGTACATAAACTTTATAATTTGGTTACGCGCTAAACCAAATTATAACCACCAAAAATCAATTTGTCAAAAACTGAGACTAATTTCTACAAACGGCCCTGCAACTTGGAAATGAGTTCCATAAGAGGAAAAACCCATAGAATCAAAGTTGTAGAGCATCGAATTTCGCGTCCACTGCGTACTAACATTTTTATTGTGATATTTCATTTTATGCAATTGCATTGACATTTTATTCAAAATCAAACCTTCGCCTGCGATGAGGTCGATTCTCCAGTTAGTACTGGCTCCAGGACTAATAGCAGAACGTCAAGTGCCAAAATATTCTTGATCTGATCCATGAGAAATGTTCCAAAAATTGTGTACCAATTCAAGTCAATTTGTCCCCGAGCAGTGTTATACAACCGGAAGATAACTACAGAGGTACGGGACGGATTGTACACCCCCAGCCGCGGTGGTTGAGCACTCCAAGCGCGAGTGAAAGGTCCGAGCTAACGGTACCCGGGAGCATGACCCGCATCCCAACTCCCGGCCCCCCTGCCTGCTAATTCTACAATCACTTCTTCTTTCCTCCCAACATCATCCTCTTCTTGTCGTCGTGCTTTAAGAACTACACGGTAGTAAACAATAAAAGTTATGTAGGCATGTAAACAAAAAATGGATTGCGAATTGGCCATC